CTTTCACCATTTCCGAACCCTCCACAAAGTGCAGCTTGTACAGAAAGCAGAGCCCTGCTACGGTACGGTGAATGTCGAGGCTCGGGAGGTATGATCCATCTCCAATTATGTGCAGGGCACGGCGCTGGATGGCAGTGAGGCGGGCCAAGGTGGTGGGGGCTGCGCTCTCTCTCATCCACACCAGCATGCCATACTCTAACACAGGGCGGACAAAGCCACGGTACACGATTGCCCGGTGCTTTGGGTCTAGCACAGCCGATGCCTTACGGAGGAAGCCGAGCCGCTGGGCTCCGCGTACTGCAAGCTGTCGGATATGGCTGCGGAATGCCAGCTGCCTGTCGAAGGTGACGCCAAGAAGCTTGAGCTCCTCTACTTCTGGCACGACTGCTTCTTGGAAGCGTATTGCGTTGGGGGGGGGGGGGGGGGTTGACGAGCGGTGGTGGCTGATATCATGGTCAATGCCTGCGACTTTGTGGGCTCGAACTTGATCCTCCACCTGCTTCCCCATGCTGCCAGTGAGTCTACTGCCTGCTGGAGGATTGCTGTCTCTTCTGGCAGTCTGAGTCGGGTGGCGATGCACTTGTAGAGAGTTGTATCGTCCGCATATACAGCCAGCTTCGCCCCATCAGGCAGGTGGTCTTCTGCGTCGTTGACGTACAGAAGGAAGAGGGTGGGGCCGAGGATGCTGCCCTGCGGCACGCCAGATTGGATTCGGTGGGTCGGTGAAGACTGGCCGCCTATGACGACACGGATGTGGCGGTCTGTCAGGTAACTCCGGAGCCAGGCAAGGAGGGGGCCATGATTGTCTTCTTCAAAATGGTAAACATGAGAGATGAAAGAGAGGGCAGTTGTTTTATATGGCATTCTCCTGTCTCTCTGTCTGTCTGTCTGTCTATCTGCCTGTCGGTCGGTCTGTCTGTCTGTATATCTGTCTGTTTGTCAACTGTTTTATCTATATCCTTCTCCATCGAAGATGTGCACGAGCTACAATGTATGTCCCTTCCGCACCTGAGCCTTCCAAGTTGGAAGGTTGTTGGTTTGCGCTTCGTAGATGTGTTGGAGCTAGGTGTCAGTTCGTCGAATGTCTCAATATCCTTGTCAGTTTTGTGCCTTGTTGTCGCGCTGGCTGACTGTATAATTATTATCTGATTACCTTGGTGGACTGTTAATCACAACCAGTACTTGTAACTTATAGGTCCTTTTCTCTTTACAAAAGCAAGAGAATGCACCTGCAGGACCTTGGGGACTGTTGTCCTTGTTTCCAAAGGTATCCTTGTTCAGCCTAGATATGCAGTTACATGTATGCAGCATGGATGTTTTGTTCTCGACCTAGCCCTGCATGGCCAGGGACAGCCAAAAGGTCAGTTGCTGTTCACATTGGTCAGGATCTCCATACTACAGGACTACTGGTATACCATGGTATACAGTGTAACAGGGTTCCTAGTATACATGTATACTTACTGAAGTACATGTATAACTTCACAGACAGAAGAGCGAGCAGGTGCGGTTTTGTACCTCTGAGTTCGTAAACTGAATGGATCATCAGACGAAAATCTCTTACTTATCTTCCCACACTCAATCTAATGTTACAATGCGGTTTTCAAGACATGTGAGTCATGCATGGAGGATACTTCAGCTCAGCTAGTCAGCTCATGAGTCATACCACACGTCACAGCTATACACGTACACATCGTAACAGCTGACTGCACGGTTATTCAGCGTACAGCAAGTACAGCATTATCTCCTCTCCATGACATTGTTGTGGCTGCTGTATTTGCCGGTACTACCTTCACCAGGGCAATCCCCACAGACTACAGTACAGGTATAAGTCTTTTACAGTGTACATATACATAAGGTACGCAATCATGTACATGTAAATGTAAGTGCGTGGAAAAAGTTGAATGAAGAAAAACAGGGGCTGCATACTATGCCATTATGTGGTTCATGCTTGGACATGGTGTATACACAGAACAATACAGTCATGGTGGCACTCCGTGACGTCCGTGCAACACTCATCATGTCATCACGTCAGCAGCAGCAACACGAACGAAACGTTTTCACCTATTGCCAAATCAGTATTGCATGTGCATGACGTGCATGCATCTCTCTCTTATCCGGACCTCGAAGTTAAGGGCACCTCGCTCTACCGGTAGGCACCCTGCACTCACTGAAGTCGTCGTCCCGCCCATGTTTCCAGTCCCTCATTGCTCCGGTGAGTACTCGCAAACATAATATTGATAGTTTGTTCAGTCAGTCAATGGATGATCTTATTCTCTTCTACACAATGTCATGTACATGTATATTCACTCTTCATCATTTTGTCGGAACTAGGTCTCCGGACCTGGTGAGAAGGCAGAAATGCCTGTTCACTTGGTGAAGTAAAATAAAATAAATGAACAAACAAACAAACAAACAATGTACACAGAACAACAAGGGCCAATCAAGGCTAGTTTGTGCCTACTCTGAGTTTCATTTTATTATATCAGGCTACATAAGGGTGTTATTGGCCATGCCGGTATTTTTTATGCCAGGATAGATATTGGTGGATCTTGTGGTGCTATGCATGGGGGGTTGATTTGCTAGCTAGCGTGTGGAAAGCTATGTGTGAATGTGGGGGCTGTGTAGGTCTCAGGGCTAGTGGTGTTATTACTTATTAACACTTCAAAGTGCTGTTGGTGTGGGCAGGAAGCTACATGCATGTACAATGTCTTGTACTATCGTCGCCAAACAAATCCGGCCAATGCTGTAGATCATGGTAGATGGTAGACTAACACAATCATGCACTACTCCTGGCACTGCACGCGTACCATGACTGTCTGTATCTATCGGCATGGGCCCGATTTTTGGCGAACATGTAACCGTCAGCCAATCGATTGCTCCAAACTGCTCTATCGGACCATCTCGCGGGGCCAAGTGGCTCGACTCAAAAATGAATTCCATAAATTCTCTTGCCAGAGGTTGACAACCCACCGGTCGGCTTCACTGCCTGGGACACTTGACGGGCCAAACCAATTTATCTGCTACCTGCAGCCCGTTGAAAGGCAGCACTTCAAAGTGAAAAGCTGGCCCGGAGTAATATCTGCACGTTTCTGGCTGCCTCCACCACAGCCACAGAGCTACAAGTAGTGTAGAGGTAGACTGGTAAAACATGTATAGGAGATGGAGGACCTTGACAAGATGCACATTCAGCTAGCTAGCCACTTGACTGATATTGTCTCGGCCACGTGATCATGGTGAAGTAAGTGCACTGCTCGAGCTCTGTTCAAGATAAATTGTAGAATGTAGGAGTGCGATAAATCGGCCTTCTTCTGGCTGAATATCGAAGCCAAGGCACACACGGCGCATGAATGCAGGTGTTTTCAAGGAGCTCGACATGATCGCTTGTGTACCGATGATGGCCAAGATCCGTCATGGCCATAATGTAGCCTTAGGTATCATCCTTGTGACAACGACCTGCATCCGCACCTACACTACCATGACTACAGCACACGGAGCTGAAGAGCCAGAGCGCCCCCCCCCCCCCCCCCTCCACTTCATCATTTTTATTATTGAATCTTACTCGACTTCGCTACCACGCGCTTTTGTTTGCAGTGATTGTGTAGAGTGGGTAGGCTACACTACAAAAAAAATTATAGTACTAGTCGCGAACCGGTCCACCGTATTCACTCCGCTCATTTATTGAGTCATTGAGCTCATGCCCCCCTCGATTTTGCACCCGGATGCGGGAACACACACTACCGGCCGGCAAGCTGATCGCATTTTGCAAGTAAAGTTTTTGTTCCAAAGGCACCAGTACACCGTACTGCGCTCGTACTGAATTAGTTACAGTTGATGGACATGAACCAGAGTACAAGACTAGTATAAGTATAACCATGATGACATTTTGTTGTACCTACGGAGAACTCCCCTGCCCTGCTGTGCACTTGCCCAGAGCTGTAGAGGAAGCCCTTGGCCTTGGCCAAAGCCACAAGGGCGTCATCATGCATGACCGTGAAGAGACTAGCTTCTGTAGTTATCATGACTCAAGCAAGCCATGGAATATCATGCCATGGCTTGCTTGAGTCAACGGCCGATGGCTTCTGTTGCCGTGTTGGAGCCAAATCCGAAATTATTCTTATGACTCTTTCCTCTCACCTAGTATGTGCCGGCTTCACTGAATCAGTGAAGCGGAGAGTAATCTATCATTCATATTCTCACTTCGCACCTGTGTGACTAGCTTTGTACTTGGACTAATGTACCTACATGTAGATGAATGCAAGCAGCCTGTCTGTTTCAATAGAAATCAGTTCCGTGCGAAACTCGCTACCGGAGCACACGTCACTTTCAAAGACCAAGCAGTGATTTGGTGATTCGTTGTGAAACCCTCTCGTCGCATTGTTGTCATCAATGCGCCGAGAGAGTTTCACAACGAATCAATGATTTATGTTGATGATGAAAATTAATGAACTACATGTATACGTATGTCTTTTAAAATTGTATGCGTGTATTTATTCTTGTCAGTGATATGCGCATCTTCGCCAGGGCCATACACCATGTCCACACATTATAATTATACAATTACAATGTCATGCAAGCAAGATCCACACAACACACAGATTTATAGGAAGGAACAGCGGAAACCGTTTGGATTTGCTGCAGGTACTTCAGTACGTTTGGCTCGCACTCACAGGCAAAGACAGAAAATTGCATTATGGGAGATCATCACTCTTACTTGTTAAATTTTTGCTATGCCTAACCAGTCAAATATTCCTGCATATTTCACCCCTTAGCCTAGGGCTATTTTAGAGATTGAATACATGCGTTTGTCTAGTCGTGATAAATCTAATATTGACTTCGTTCTACTACTAGTACTAGGTAGATTTAGGAAATACAAACTTCGTAAAAGACCCCCAGTGATTCTCAAGTAACTCGGAGAAACAACTCAATCTGCACCCAAGCACACAACTCAATTGCACCCAAGACTGTACACACCATTCCAGACCAGGTGGCACCATACAATGTAGGTTGGATGATCGCAAAAAAACTTTCTTTCTAAATCGAATAATTAATCACACGCTTGCACCGGTCAGCATTAGTCGATATAAAGGTGAAAAAGAGAGAAATATCCATAATAGAAACTGGTGTCGTCGCTATATATGCTCATACTAGGAGAAACCACAATATTGGTGCTGTCTGCAAACTGGAAGGGAGCTATGCATAAAAACGTAATATGAAAGGGAAAAAATCGTCTCTCCGATATCGGTCGAGACTAGAGTTAGCTGCTGCCATCCTGTGCTGTCAGACGAGCAGGGAGAGTATAGTAAATGTTCATATGGAAATACGTAGACTCGGGATTAAATAATACACTGGACCCGGGGTGCGAAATGAGAGACAGAGACATAATAATGCGTACTCTTTTTTGACCTCCCCGGGCTAGATATACCATACTAAATAAGGATGTGTGATGATGATGATGATGATAGAGTAGAAACAACAGGTGATAGCACGGAAAATGAGGAAATCAGGGTTTTTTTAATTGATACGGATTATAGGGGGATGGGGGCTTGCGTAAGAAAGCATCGCGCCAAAAGAAACTCCAGGCCGGGGCTAACGAAAGCAAATACGCCTACAAGGACTACCTTTGTAAACATTCGTCTTCCCATATCATTTGACGCGGCATATGATATTCCATTCTTTTTTCTCTCTCTGTCTGTCTCTGACTTTCTAAAGACCCGAGACTAACGTAATATTGACAAAGATATGCAGTGCTTTGTGGGCTGCACCGGAATTTATATGTAGGCACACAAGCTGACGAACCAAGCAATACAGACAGGCAGATTATTGCAGAACAAGTGTGCATCTGTGAATTTTCGAATTCGATAACAGAGAAGGGGGGGGGGGGCACCAACACAACAATACATCTGCGATTAGTACAATGCGTGCATACAAACACACGTGTCATTGGGCACGTATACACACAGCGAGGATGAATACAAAGATCTGCGTTTGAACTTTGACAACACACACGAAGGCCAAGACCACAATCACACTAGACACACTAGACAACACGCATCAAAACTAAATCGCCGACTGAAGTGCAGTGCATCTACACATGCAGTCAATGGCGAAGGAAAACGACGAAGGCAGAGTTCAGTACAATTGACCATATCCAGTTCCATCCCGCGAGACGAAAACATTTTAACTTAGGACCAGCAACAACACAAGTCGACCATTACACACATAGTTACAAACCAACCGTGTCATACGTGAAGCGATACATCCCTGTCGCTGTGGTGCAGTTTGGAGCCGCTGCTTCAATCCTGACTTACGCGAATGCGCAGGATGTCCTCAACACGGCAGTTACAACCCATCCTTGGGCACATTCGGTTGTTGTCACTGTAGGCCTTCACTGCACAGGCGTGGCAGTACACATGGCCACATGGCACCAGGGCAGTTTCCTTGGCGTGCTCCACACGGCACAAGTAGCAAGTCTTGCTCTCTCGGCTACGCGGCGAGATGCCTGGCTCGTCGGAGCTAGAGTTGGTGCAGTGTGATTCGGGTGTCTCGAATGGGCTGATGCTGCTGGCCGATGGTGTGGACAGGCTGATGTTGAATGCGTTGCCAGAGCCTGTTGTACTGGGAGTGGTCGGCGAGGTGCCCACTGCACCGTAGTTCCCGCCACCGAAGATGCTAGACGCGGATTTTGCGTCGCGAGATTCGGGAAGAAGAGAATGATGTATTCGGCGAACACGGCCAATCTCTGATGTAGGGTCACTGACGGTAAGACCAACAGGACGATGAGGTACGTCCGAGTGCATAGAAATCAAATTCTGGGATTGGTTGGAGTGGGCAGAGCTGGCGCGAGAAAGTGAGCGCTCTCGCGGATACCCTTGGCTCAGACTGCGCAGGGCCTGCTGCTGCTGATGCTGCTGCTGGGCCTGCTGGAGCGGGCCGAGTGTGTTGGGCAGGTCGGGATGTCCAGTGACACCGTACTGCTGGAACGCAAGGTAGGACAAGTTGTGCGTGGCCAACTGATCGACGGCATTAGCCAGGTTGCTGGGCTCGAACGGGCTCTCACTGTCGTTCAGCAGAGACAGAGGCGAAACTACCGAGTTGAGACGTCCCGACATGCCGTCAGAAGTGCGCCCTGAACGCATGTGGTGATGACTATTGGGTGAACGACGACCGCCCTCTACATCCTCTTCTTCACTGTTGCGTGTGCGCATGGCGATGTAGTTCTCAATCTCGTCCTTGGCCTGCTCGACGTTTTCCGCGCTGCCCGTCACCTCGAAACACGGCTCGCGATCTCGGCTTGGAGTGACAATGAAAGTGCCGGTCGTCTGCTGAATCCGAATCCGCTTGATGGTGGAGCCCTTAGGTCCTACGACCAATCCAACCACGCGGTACGGAACACGGACCTTGATGGTGATGTCGTTGTCCGGTGGTCGTGACGGGGCAGCTAGGCCGCCGTAGCTCAGAGGCATGCTGTACTGAGAGCCGCTGGCATTGCCTCCGCGACTGCGCGACGCGCGGATCTGAGTGAAGTGCTCGGCGGCGGCCAGGATCTCCTTTCGTGCAGTGCTGACGTCTTCTGGACGACCTGTGACGATGAAGACAGGTTCGTCGCCACGAACAGGTGTCTTGATGTAGGTTCCAGTTTTATCTCGAAGAGCCTTGATCTTGCACCCTGGCCGAATTACACAAAGCAAGCAAAAGAACACGGGAGTGGTGAATATTGCCTATAATAGGCTACACAGAACGGCGGAGATGCCAATGCCAATGTTCCTAAACACCACTACTAGTACGTACATAGTCATTGATGCACATTCTACGCCGGCAACAGAGCTTGCACACAGACACAAGTCACGACAGTCCACGGAACAAGCGAACAGGCGCTGTAACGATATGCCGGAAACTACACGGCAAACCTCCCTTCTGAAACGATACACAGACCGTGGTTCCCACCGGCCACCAAGAATGTCACAGAACCTGCAAGCAGAGTCCTAATGCCTTCCTGCTGTAAGATTACGCATTCAACGGCCATTCCGTTCTAACCACCATAGCCGCTGCAACGTCCATAACGGCCATTTGCAAAATTCAAAAATAGGGAGAACCCAACGGAAATTGTTTCGAACAGCAGGAACATAAAAGGGAAAGGGACAACAGAGCACTACAGGACATACCTTGACGGCCGACAATTTCTGCCACATGCTCCGAGCTGGGAACGCTGACACGCTCAGTGATGTTGGAGCTCCTGGTTGTGGGAGCTGTGTGGTTCATGGACATCTGCGAAACCCAGTGCGACAGGGTGTGACTATCATGCGGGTCCAGACTATGGTAATCCAGAACAAGTCTACTGTTGTCCTTGACACTGAAGCTGGTCGGAGGGTCGCGGAGCTCCGAAATGCGCTGCCCGGCAAGAGAAACCATAATTGCTGCTGCGGGGAAGAAGAAGCTCCACGGATAGAAAAACACACAACAAGCTTTCTTGCTACTTGTTCCTTTTCGCAACAGCAGGCGTTCGAACCGACCGACTCCTGTAGCTACTCTAGGCAAAGTGAGCAAGGTGTGGCTGGCGCGCAGTTTACTATTCGTCTCCAACGGACTCTCGTAGCCTAGCCTGGCCACAGAAAGGTGTGAAGCTACGAACGAGCAACGCGCGGTGATTGGTCAGACAGGAGCTGGCGTGATCTGCGCCTCGCGCTAGGGCTGATCCTTTTCACGTCTAGCGAGCGACACAGAACACGAACAAAGACCAGCAGACAGTACCGTACTCAGTTTTCTGTACCAAGCCAAAGTCAGCGGAAAACAACAACAACATTTTGTACTCAACCCTTGTAAACAGCAGCTAGAATTTTAGAAACAGTGTACAACAGACTCAGTACACAGCACAGTTGCAATAATCATTACGTGCAGTAGCAGATAGGGAATGCTTACTGATTTTCACAGGAAGACTAGAGAGGCTCAGCTAGCTAGTGAAAGTGGAAGCAGTTACTTACTTAGAAGCTAAAGACGTGACCGGGGCTGTCGCTAGTGTGAGAAATACTGCTGGAAGAAAATACTTGAATGTTGAAGTTAGACAAAAAATACTCTTCTTCGACTTTCCTCGTTCCGTTAGACATAAATTGCATCTGTACGACTACGAGCTCCTGTAAATCTGAATAGAATTTATAGAAAAAATAGGCGGGCAGTTTCGGCTACCACCGGACCTCGGGTCGCTCTTCGAATGGCGAGCACTTGAAGCGTCCTCCGGGATTATAATCCTTCTCACTCGCTCGTTTGTGCTGACCGGGCTAGGGCTGAGCTCCTAGCTGCAGATGCCGGTACATGGATATCGCAGAGAGTATAGGCCTATGGCTTCTTCCGCGCCCGCATAATGGATGTTCACGTAAGTACAGTACCTATTCTACCCAGGTGTGTGTGCGCGCGCGTGTGTGTGTGTGTGAGAACCGGTGTGTGTGTGTGTCGGCAGGAGTGCTATTCCATGTAGAGGTCTCCGTGTTGCACAAAGCCGGCATGGCAGGCCGCTTAGTCGTGCACCCGTTCGTGTGCTTTTCGGAGAGAAGGGAAGATCGTAGCGACCCTCGATGTCAAGGACATTGCCTGGAGTGCCGGACCCCGCACTAGTGAGAGCAGCATTGCCCTGTGTCGTTGGTGATCAATGACCACGGGAGTCCTACAAATCTAATAGTAATACTAATAGTAAAGGGTCTCTACTACTCACTGGTGTTTAGCTAATCCTGGTAGTAATCAGTACGAGTATGCTGGTGCCGGATATTTGAGTATGGAAGAGCTTTGGGCTAGTAGACCCCCTCTCCTCTCTACTACTACCGGTAGTCGTGCCTAGTGATTCAAGTGATCAGCTAACAACGCCGTAAATCATTTATGCAGTCAGGCCAGTAGCAGTGGATGTTCATCACAAGTAATAGTTCACTGACACTGTGGACCGTTTGGTCCTGAACCCTTTGGACCTGCCTGTATACACATGCATAATTACTATTACTGTATTAGATTACAATGTACAGTCCCCGCTCCTCATTGACATTGACCTGTCAGTTGAAGCACATGGGCAAGGTACGTTTTAGATCTGGCTTTGGAAATTTTTATCTTTCATTCCTTTCAGGTTCAGCCTCAATTTCTTTGTTCTGTGCTAATAGTCCACAAAGCATGAAACAGTTCTGCCCATAGATTGAGTATAGTCAACCTTTAGTAGTTAGCCCTTGCAATGCACAATACATGTACTTTCTACAGCCAAGCAGTACAGCATGCAGTGCTGCTGCCTTTGCTGTTATTGGTGGGTACACCTGAGGACTCCACAGAAAAACCATGCGGTTGGGCTACATGGAAAGTACCACTGTTAGAAGTAGGACAATGCCTTATTTCTACCAGTGGTACTTATAGTTTTCGAGTTGAGGTACCCTCATATTAATATGTCAGAATAATATGAGGGTACCTCAACTCAAAAACTCTAAACACAGGTAACACATAAGCTCAGGTTCGCCAAATTTTCGGGCATATAAGATTTTCTATTCTACCAACTGGCCAATGGTTTCACAGAAACAGAAAAGAAGAAAGCCACCCATCAGAGGAAACACTGGTAAGGTGCAAGAATGATGCAAACCCAGTATAAGGAGCTAGCTGGCACTAAACAAAGGGACATGGTTGTAGTGTGCAATGTAGTGACCTAAGTGCTGGCATATACTTGTACAAAGCCTTACAAATGAAGTAGTAAAGTTTTTCACACAGCTGGATTCGGATTTGAGTGAAATTCCGTCGGAGTACAGTTGTACTTCGTGTAGTGCAGTCTGCTGTTGAGCATCCATGAAGAGTGATGGCACATCTCGTATGGTTGATGCAATTCACTAAATTTAAATTTAGCAACAACTAAGGGTCTTGGTACCATGGTGCTTCAACTGCTTGCCGTTGTCAAACATTTTTAGTAATACTATTCATAATTCCAACCTTGGTGGACTTGCTGGCTTGGTAACCTACAGCACCACTTGCCTTTGTCGACTACGAAGAGTGATGTCATAGGGTTATGCAAAACCTCCCAGATGATGTCATAGGGAAGATGCATAGTCTCTCAAATGACATCCACTGATTATTCAACCTGTCACCTGTCAGTGCGTTGGCAAAGAATTTGACTTTCCTGTACAAAATATTTGGCCCTTGGTGGATTGTGTGCCGGCGGGACAAACATAGTTCTGCCCCTCCTCGGCCTCTGTTTCCCTCAGGATCAGATCACCTGATGGGGTGTATGTATGCACATGTATATGTAGTGTAGTGTAGTGAATGCCAGCTACATCTGACCGTGGACATGACTGCAGTGTGCACGTCATTCTCTAGGGAGAGTACTGCTTACATGTACATGCAGCTCATTCCCCAGAACATTACATCAATTAAAAGATCCAAGGACGTGACCCTGAGGAGCTTCTTTGTTGTAAGGTGAATGTATATATTTCCCACGTACATCTACTACCAATACGCATCCGATTTGCACGGGAGTATGGGGATGTGACATTTTGGTTCTGACACTTACATTTCAGCACCACTACCAGTACCAGATAGTGATGTACATACATACAGTCATGTACATACATACATACATACATACATGTATGTACACACTACGTCAGTGGTTGGTTTGGCTGTTCTATTTTAAAGTCGAGCAACAAACAGACAAATATTCCCTCCTGAGAGAGTGATGTCATAATAATGCTTGTGCACATCGGCAAGTGAAATCCGGCCACATAAAACACATGATGTCCTCTACTGGTGGTTTGCCGTTCTTTACAACTTCCAACAAGCAATACAATTATTTCATCAGTACAAGACTGCAGTGTGTATTGGTAACACTGGGCCCAGTGGGCAGTGCCACTAACAATGATGTGTCCCATGGTTCGTGTAACAACCATGTCAAAGTGGTTCAGTGAATGCAGCAACCCATGCGATGGAACAAATAGAACCACAATTGTGAAATCGAGCACACAATACCTCCGTGTCATCTACATGTACATGTACTTGCATGTCATGGTACTCTCATTGTGGTACATTGTGTAAGCCAGTCAGAAAACTGCAACACGCCATTCACACATCAAAACTCACTCCTTGCTGCGGCTAGAGTTTAGTTTCGTTTAGTTTTATTCCAAGTCATACATGGCTGGGGTAGCCAATGACCACTTTGCGTGGCGACTGCAGGGTTTGTATAGGCAACCACGACTAGGGGTAGGGGATCGAATAACAGCATCGAGGTACGTGTATAGGACTGGCCCAGGTATTTATGTTGTAGATCGCATGATCGTGTTCTGTTTTACTTGCATGAGTACATGGAGGTTAAAAGTTTGTTTTTTCAACGTAAATTATCGTATCCGTTTCCAAGGGAACTCACGTGGGTTGCTGATAAGTGATAAGCAGAGGTGGAAGCTAGTGTCTGTACTACTAGTAGTACTAGTAGTAGTAGTGATGAAGAAAGTGTACGCCACTGGCTTACATATACAGGTAGTTGCATACGGGTAAGAGGATAGGGGGAGTTGGGTGAGGTCGTGGTGAGAAATTGGTAAGGCCAGTGTTATAACAATGTGGTACACTACACTTTTTCTACACATCTACCGCATGCATGCAGTGTGTCACGTATGAATAATGACGGCTGCTGTAGGTGATTTAAACTGATTATCTTCCATGAAGTGCCATCAACAAGTACTACATAATTATCTAGAAATGTTACTGTGAGACATCACCAGTGTGGATAATCAAGTGGTATGCTTCACTGTCCCAAGAGTGCTCAATACCCATGTAGTGCAGAGCCTTGTACACAAGAGAGAGATTGGAAGCTAGCTGTGTCGCAACTCTGGGTTTCACGTATTTCTACGATCACCAGGCTACTGATGGCTCCAAAACGGGCAACCTGAACACAAGGGGGAGCAAGGTGAGAAATTCTGCAGTGTGGCTAGTGTATTGTGTACAGTGTACAGTGTACAGTGTACGTCAGAGCACGCCCGGCGCTACATCGCACTCGTCACTGCCATGCCTGTACAGTCATGATTGTATACCCGTCACTACAATGTACACTTAGCTTCTTGTTGAGCTGATGCTGCTATTTATGCCAACACGCACAATGTGATATGTAAGGAGTGCATGATTGTACAATGTACAAGCACTTAGTCTTAATGGCGTACGGTTCCCTAACGGGCTGCCTTCCTACCTTCTTGGCTCAGCTACTTTGAGGACAATGCTTCATTTGAGTCGTGTCGACGTACATGCAGTGCAATGGATGTCGCTCTCATTCGCCTAACCCGATTACCGGCCATTTATATGAAGATTGTGAGCGTTCATTGGGGACTGCACTCATCCTCCTTTTTTGAATTGGCACTTTGGATGGGCAGAGCACTGCATCTGTGCTTCTTATTCCCCCCCCAGTATGTACAATACAGTCTGGACTCCGTACTGAACCAACCTAAACAGACCGCTAGAGCTCGGTGACGCTGCGTTCCACTCATTCCGCCGACCATTACCAGGATTACATGTGCGCTGTGCAGTAGTGAGTAACCTGTTTAAGTCGCCTCCCAAGGTCGAGTACGCGGGCCGCATCCAAGCGGCTTGATCTTCAATTCCCACGGCTTCGGATCATGACTAGATCATAATTTCATTAGCTAAGCTTCCAAATCAGACATACTCGTACCCAACATTCACAGCTAATTTACTTCGCGGAGTAGAGGGATTAGCAGGGAATCTTCTAGTGACAAGATCACAGTAGCACAAATCGATAATCCCATGTACTCTTCCAAATAGCCCTAACACGTACCACGCACGAGTAGTGCTGAAAAGGAGCACTTCACAAAATGACGATGCTGCAGTTACAACCATTGAATCGCTGCTTGCAGTATGAGAGGGGTGAGTGAGCTGGCAATTCAGTGCTCTTCAGAGCCATAGGGCAATGGCCAAGGGCTTCCTTTCAATTTCTGCAGCAGACACCGTGCACAGTGCCAGTGGTCCTTGGAGCGCGCTGCTATCGCCATCTTTCTACATAACTACATGCAGTGTAATACTAATATTAATACTAATACTTTGAAGTAGAAGGCACCTTGCAAATCACTTTAACAAGCACCACTAGTAGTGTAATACGTTAATTAGTTGTGCCCCTGGAATCCTAGCCTAGGCTAGAGTGCTGGTACTACATGTAGGTACAACAGACAGCGATGCTAAAGCTGGTGCATGTACATGTACATGTACCTGTA